GCTCTCTTGCAGTCCGGGAGCCCTCGGGGGATGGCCGACTGACGGCTTAGACCTGCTTCCCAGAGGGAGCAGGCCTAAGCCATCAGTCGGACATCCTTAGTGCTGCCCTGGAGGCGAGAGAGGCTTCTGCCACTGCCGTTGCTCTCGCCAGCCGTGAGCCCAGCTCAGGGCTTCTGGCTGAGTGGCGCTCCCCCTGTGGGAGCACACTGACCACCAGGAGGCAGCTCCTTCCTTGAGCGTCTGCCCCCTGCTGGTCAGTACGCGTCATAGTGACCAGTCGTTCTGCTGTTCAGTCGATTTGCATATTAGCCTTTTATTATATAGGATAGGATAGGGTTAGTCAGGAGCCCACTTTTTACCACTCTTTAACCCAAGTTCTCATTGGCTGCTTCTGCTGTCTCCTGGTAACATACCCAAGCTTGTTAAAATGGTGTGTAAGTGAAGTAAATTGCTGTTTGTGAGCATCTAAGAGAGTCTCCCATGTCTTAACGCTTCAGTGTGTGACTTTTATGGCACCTTCAAAAGTCTTCCCGGTCACTTTTCTCAACAAGGTTGTAGTTAAAAAGGCTGTCGTGTGACAAGTTGCTATCTGTACACATCTTCTGAACTCTCATGGCCGCCCCACTGCTGGCTGACTGCTGAATACTACACTTTCCCATTTTATGGAGTAAGGAGTTCGATGGGTATGGGTGAAGTTCATGAACTTATAAGATCTTTTAGGGAAATTTTACTCTTCATTCACCCTGAAATTCTATTGTTCAGGGTGAATTATATTTGTAAAATGTTTTCTAGCCCTTGATATGCAAGCTGATTGTGGGAAGTTAACTACTCCCACACAAAATCGTTAGTTCTCAATTTTCTAATTTCCTGAGTATAAGCAGGAGCCATTGCAAAGTGGTCATTATTCTGGCCTCTCCTTGTGTTAGGGTAGCAGGTAACAAGTGAGTTAACTAAAGGTGGGTGAGGATATTTCCAGCCAGGCGGAGGAGTTGAAGACTTTCTCAGAGCAGTCTGACTCTAGATGCCGTTGGTCAGCATGGCTCAGCCCAGCCTGCCCCGAGGCCCCTGATGCTCACCGCAGTCCTGCCTTCTTGTACTTGAACCCTGACACTCGCTGATGCAGCCTCTCCTCTGCCTGATCTTTCCAGTCACGGGCCTCGAGGGCAGCGGCCAGTGATGAAGGGCTCGGCTCTGGGGTCAGACGGGCTCATCCACTTACAGGCTGTGTGACCTGGTTCAAGCTACTCAACCCGTCTGAGCCTGACTCCTTGCTTTGAGCCTGGCAATAGCAGTAGTGCCTCCCTCACAGGGTTGGTGTGAGGCGTGAGTGGATGGTGCTTAACACAGTGGCTGGCCAGCTTTGGTAAGCTCCCGGTGCATAGTAGCTGTTATTACTGTTCTCTTAGCTGCAGCCTGTCTCTGACCCCTGTTATTCTTTTCCTTGGTTACTGAAATAGCGCCAAATCCAGTGGCACAGTACAGTGTTCTGGGCCGGGGGCCTGGGTCTCTGCCCCTTCATTTCCCCTTCATCATGCGTGTCCCTGAAGTGTGGGGCACTGCGCCAGCCCTTTGTGGCCTCCTGTTCTCGGTGCCTCCCACGTTGGCCTGTCTTACACTGCAGCTCACACTCCCCCTCCTCTACACCCCCTTCTCCTTCTCGTCTGCGTGCTTCAGTCTGGCCAGCTTTCCATTAGTGAGCACTAGTGTTCAGTCAGAGTCTCTCTTTCACTCAGCTGGCCTGCTTGGTTTCCTGTGTCTTGGTTTCTTCGTCTTAAAATCACAGTAACCATCTCATGGGGGTTAAATAGGTTAATGTGTGGGAAGTGCTTAGAGCAGGACCTGGCACTTTGAAGTGTTGGGTGTTGTTATTTCTCCTCCTGTGACCGGAACAGGCACTGTGCATTCTTACCCCTGTGCTTAACTCCACTCAGCACAGACATCCCTTTCCATTTCCCCATAGCCTCCTAATCTATTAGGCCAAGCGTCTGTGTCCTTAAAACCTTCAGAAACCACTCCAGGTACAGATGTTCCCTTTTCTATCCCTCCTAGTACGTTAATTTTTGTACCAGGTTATAAAACTGTTTGTTAGAATATACCTAAAGAAAAGTGCACTTAGCATAAGCGAACAGCTCACTGAGTGGTCGCAAACGAAACACACCGTGTAACCAGCATCCCGATGGAGAAGCACACTAGTCCCAGCACGCTAGCACCTCCACTCAATAGCATGGTCAGTTCGAGGCTACGGTATTGCCTTAGTTTTATTCATTTAACGAATGTCCACCTGCGAGCTTTTCTGTACCATATGTTTTCCTAACGTCCTATTTGTCATTGTTTTTTCCTCTTGGGAATTCTCTTTCAAATGAACAGGGAGTGTCCAGTGGGCAGAGATCATGTCTGACAATGCTTGGCTCAAGCAGGTGTTCACGAAGTAGTTTTCATTGACTGGGCTGTGTAATCTTTGGTTTCAGATCTGCCAGAGGGAGCAGTGAAAGGGCTCTGCAAGTTATTCTGCTTGACTCTGCATCGATACAGGTGAATCCCAGCCAAAGGCCCAGTGTGCGGAGCACTTTGTGCAGAGAGGTGGTGGTGGAGGGTAGGGGTTAGAGCCCAGGCTGTAGAGCCTAATTGCCTGGGTCCAATCTGGGCTGTGTCACATCGTAGCTGTTGGATCCCAGGCAAGTTACTTAACCTCTCTATGCCTCAGTTTCCTCATCTGCAGATGGGATGATGCTATTACCAACCTCATAGGTGGTGGTTAGAAAGTGTGAAGTGCCTGCCATGCTAGGAGTGCATCCGTCATGCACACAAAAGCCTTGGCCTCGTTTGAGGCCCATAGTGTTTCTTAAATGTAGGTGTTGCCCTTACAGCTTTAGTGGCTCATTTGCTCTTATTAGCTACTTCCAGAATTCCTGGAGGTGGTAGATTTATCTAGTTATTTCCTCATCCCATCATCTATGATCCTCTGGAATACAGTGCAACCTGATTTTCCTGAGAAAGACCAGCGCTGTGGC